AGGATAGCACGGCAGCAAGGCTCCCCCAGAACCAGAAAAACTTCCGAGATACCACATCTCTTGCAAGCCAAGAATCGCCAGACCAGCAACCTGCTGTCCAAACTGCTCCCGTGCCGGGCTCTCAACTGGCCTTCCAAAGACTGGCGGAAAGCAACACCCGACTGTGACAGTAAGGGCTCAAGCTGGTGAGAAAAGTCTGTTCAAACAAAATCAGCCGGAAGGAAGCAAATCTGGAAATGCCTAAGCAGCAAAAGGATCTCAGCCTATTCCCCTGGGCCTCGATAGGACGAGGACCTGAAGACCAGCTTGCTCTGACCAATGCTGTGCCAACGTCTCCACAGCCTGGAACGCATAAAGATGGAAAGATAGCACTAAGGACTTAGCCTGACTATAGGGGGATTGGTAAAGTAAATGGAAGCTACGATGTAGAAAACTAGAAGAAGACACAGTGGCCTAAGTCCATGTCAAATAATGGAGAATCAAATGGAAAGTGAAATGGAAAATGAATGGAAACTGGGGCATAGACGGATGAAAGGATCATGGGTAGACTGAAAGAGGTCCCATTGTGGGGGTCCCAATAACAAGGATGTTTGCACTCTGGGATCTATATTGAAAGGTTGCCTTCTTGAAGTCATCAAAAATCTGTGATGCAAGGAATTCCCAATATCAAACATGCGAGTGCCGGCTCCTACCCAGCAAAAACTCTTTGAATCCCATCCCTCCCCAGCTATCCAAACTACATTTGGCAACTTGATCAAGCCGGCGCAAGTACCCACGAACTTCCAGTTCTAAGCCAGATTGTTTTCCTGGTCTCCATCTTCAATTGGGTCCATCTGACATCCAACAATCCCGTTGGGCGCCTGCTGCAGCACTTCCAAGAGCGTTGTGTAACCAACATTTTCAGCCGGCTCTTGCGACAGGAGCTTCAGTAACGCTTTGGACAACTCCTGGCAGCCACAGAAGCAGAAGAACCTACACCACTGGCGACAGCATCAGCTCTGCCATTCTGCTCCACATGACATTTTTGCTTTCGGAGGCAAGAGCGCGTGTTTCCAGGGACACCCCGGCCTGGAAAGCTCGCTCAACGCTCACTATCGTGACAGTGCCGGGCTCCCTGGTCATTGCGGTCGTGAACAATGACAGCAGCTGCAGCAGCGAGCCCGTGTCTTCACCTGCAAGATCACCGTAAGGCTTACCCCACGCAGAAATGGAAAGCAATGACAAGTTCCCATCATAGCATTTGCAACAATGCAGTGATCAGAACTTGGATTGCAATCTGAGATCACTGCAGCGATTGGCGTCTTTGAGGCGCGTCAGTAAGCAGTCGAGGGTCTCGCTGCGAACGACACCGGCCTGCTGATTTCCCTCTACAAAACGCGGACTAAAAGAAACAATCACACCACGACAGGGGCGACTCGAGCATCTTCATCAGAAAACACAACAGGACGTTGAGACTCAAGTTCGAGGTACTAGTAAATTCCAGCTCTGCCACTACGGCAGCTCCACCGTATAGTAGTTTAGGAATATAATCGGAATATGCCTACCAGGGTCCTGATTTTCTGCTATATTCCTACTATATTCTTGGAATTCCCTGTCTGGGGTTCCCATTAAAATTCCTTTACAGTATCGTAGCCTTGTAGCCAGACAAAACTCGAACAAACGCCCAGCTCGAGCCTCAAGCTCTTCAAAGATCTCACCTGGACAGCTTGCTCGAAAGATTCTGAGGATGGCGCAGAAACAACTATTTGGGGAATCCAATATAGACCCCAGAATATGATGTGCCTTATTAATCGTGGCGACCCCCAAATGGTACGTCAAATTTTGGGAAACCCCATTTGAGAAACACCTGAAACTGCAACGTCAAAGAGCAGCCGCCTAGTTCACTCTGCATCCTGTATCCGATCTGAAAGTCAAGCCCATGAACCATCCACACCCGCAGCACGCAGCATGCAATGTTCCAAGCAGTATTGCTTGGCGGACAGAACGTTTGACAGGAGAGGGAAGGAATTGGCTCGAAATTTCTCAAAAACCTGGTCCAGAGTGCTGTAATTACAGCACACATGTGTGCAGTCATAGCTGGTCTGTAACAAACAGCCACCAATGCCTGGTTCTGAATTGGCCAACCTCAAAAAAAAACTTCAGAAATATTCAGTACAAACACTGGCTGCTTATCTCAAATGCAGTTTTAAAGCCACGGTCTCAAAAGGGATGAATTATGATGAAATGCTTTGGGATTCGGCCTTCACATCTGCGGCGCCCTTCTGGAAAAAGGCGGGCGATAGCATCTCGCAGGAGGACAGAGACCTGCGACAGCTGTGATCTCTGGCTGCCCTGTTTTACTGGGGCTTAGTAGGGAGTATGGGATTACAGTATACAAGGATTACTTAACGATAATAGAGGAGTCCAGACAGATCACAGTGGACCGTCATGGCCGCAGTCTCAAACTAGAGTACAAGGTCGAGCAAAAACGGCAGGCTGTAACTGTGCAAAGGAGGCTGCAGTGGCTTGACTGACCCAAGCGAAGGCCGACAGGAGAGAGGCATCGATAATGTTCCCTTATTCCCTGCAAAGAACCTGTAAGCTACAAAGGGGTTCCAAAAACATGGTGCCAATTTTGCCGTTTTGGACTCTTTATGTTTGGACAGACGAGCTATGCAGGTGAATACATGTAAACAAGGAAGCCCTCATGTTCAGAAATGCCTGTTACATCTTTCAGCAGCCCTGCATGATAGAATGGGAAAAAAGGGACAGATCATGAACTCACTGCTGTCACTGCTGCCTCCGATTCGTCAAGACTAATTTGGCATGCCTCTGGGCACTTGTTCGATACGGTCTTCTTGCAAAGAGGGCATTCTGGCCGTCGAGACTGCAGCAAAGAAGAGTGCAGGTAGGACTCGTAGCAAGCCTTGCAGGAAGACGGTGAAGACTGAATTAGACTTTAGGAGGACCCCCCACCCTGTAATAGTCACTATAAGGAATAATAAGGATTGTATTGGGGTTCTCTTATATTTTTAATATACCACTATTACAGGGTGGGGGATCCTCCTAAACTCGACTGCACATCTGAGCTCCAAGTCGCGCCTTGTCAAAAGAATGGCCGCAAGGAGTCGTCACGGGATCCACAAGAGGTGCTGAAATGCAGATTGCGCACGTGAACTCCTGCAATCGTCTGCTCAAAATTGCTCTTTTGAGGATGCTGGGAACTGGCAGATTTCACAAAATGCGGAGGTCACATGCAACAGTAGAAAAATCTTGGAGTATATGAGAACTCAGAACCAGAGAGCAGTATAGAAAAATATGAAGTGAATATTCAGGAAGTTTCAGGAAGTAGCACCCTTTTGTTTTGCATTCCTGCCTCCACGCTCTTCGCGAAAGCTTTACAAGGCTGACTCCTGAAAATGTGCTGACAGCAACCCTGCATTTACAGATTGCTCTGCGTGAGCAATACTTACAAACATCAAGCTAACAAGGCAACTTGGACGCGCGCTGCTTAGGACTTTCATCATGTGTTCCGGCGCACGGCACACTAGACAGTTCATGAGCACAAGTCTGATGATGCCGCTGGAATTACAACCAGCAAGAATCTCCCTCCAAGGTGAATATAGGCAATTCATCGTTAGAACTCAGGACAGGGGGACATCAGCGCGCTGGAGCATCACTCGACGAAGGCGATCGACATGGGAAGGAAATGGAAGGAACGGACTGTACTTGTTCCAGCGATTGGGATATGTAGCTACCACTGAAGTGAAACGGGTTGTTGGGAACTCAATCAACAGGACGTTACGTGAAAACGCCATGTACAAACATTGAAACTGACGCATTCAGTCAACCGTTCATTCTCTTGCTCCTGTTGTTGCGTCAAACATGATGCTACCCCCGTACTTCAGTAGTTTGCCATGTCTGGGTAGCATCTAGCCTTTTGTACGTGGCCAAGCTGAGTGACCCAATGTGGGTGCCTCTACAGGTCCCTGGGCACGTGGGCTTTCCTCTTTGAAGTGCCGTTTGAGCAGGCCAGTGACATCCGACTGCCCTAGCAGTGAGCCCATTGAAGCGCTTCGACACAGAACCTTGCCTAAGGACGGAATGGTTCTTTTGTATCTGCAGCAACAGCTGGGACTAGGCACTGCACGGGCCGAATTGCATTCCCACTACCTGAGATGATCTGGCACATGGATCAACAACCAGAACTCCACGGGCTTCAACCCACACCTGCATCAACCTTGACCATCCTTGACCGAACTACCTCAAAATGGGCATGTGCCACCCTTGTTGTCGGGGCATGTAAACCAGCAGCAGCTGCCAGGGTGAGCTCGCACGTCTCAGTTTTGCGCGACTGCTAAGTTTCAGAGATTTTTGGTGCACACAATCCAGCAGCATGGACTTGCTGCCTAAAATTTGGGTAACGCCATTGCCTCCTGCATATTCAAAAATTCGGTGGCATTTGGGGCCCGAAGAACCCGACAGCAGGACGGGCTAAAGAGATACACGGTCTGCATACACGAATGTACAAGCTGCGTTGGGACTGCACAATCGAGGCCCGCCCCATGGTCGAAACTGTTCAAGAAACGAAGGTGGACCTTCATTGAAGAAAGGGCTTCATTACTATGAGACTCTAACATGTGAAGCTGAAGGCTAAAGAGATCCACCCATCTGAGAGGGGCTGCGCTGCCGTCTTCAAAGCCAACTTTGGCGCAAGATGGAAGGGCATTTGGACAATCAGCGATCCAAGCAAACTTTCGTTGCAGTGAAAACCTTTATCTTTGCTCCGTTCGAATCGACAGGTGTCGCCTTCCACATCTCTTCCACCCGAAGAAAGACAGCTGCCCAAATTAAAAGTAGTTGAAGGATGGCGCTGCTGTTGCCGATCTCGTCTCGCAGCCATCCAAGCGAGGTCAGCTAAATGGCATGCGTGATTCATACCCTCTCATAATGTCACTCTAACTGGGCCCAAGTACACTCGCTCAGCAGGCTGGTATCCTGTTTAAAAAGATGGCCAAGGCCTACTTTCTCATGCGCTCTCGTCGTACTCGCTCCGCTCGCCATGATGCGAAATCTTGCGAAAGTTCCTGGGCACATGCTGGGTCAAAAGACTTGAAAAACCCAAGGGCCGACGCATGTGATTCGGGCTTGACTTTGTGATTCTACCCAGCAATCGCAAATAGACAACTCTTCAAGGAGCCATCGCCTCTATTGCAAAATCTGCGCGGGAAATTCTGATAACTTCCCACGTTCAGAGCAGAGCCCCAACACGTCCCTCCTTCCCCACAGTCGTTCGGACAAAGGCGCCACCTCCAACTTGCGGGAGGCATAGGCGCAAGTTTGGCGGCAAGCCTCCTTCGCTGCAGCCCGGAGCACCTGATCTACTTCTGAAATCGCAAGCCTGGCATCTCTTGTTAAACATCTCAAAATCCTGAAACTGCATGCGATTGCCTACTTACTTTCAACACGGCGTCATCAGTGCCTTGCCTCCTCGGGCAGCGTGATGCCGGCAACACTGGGAACCTCACCTTGGACCTCGATGGAGACCCATCCGACTGCTTGAGACCTGGTTCGCGGGTACAGTAGTTCACGCTCCAGCTGCTGGCTTCACCAGAAACGTGTGCCGCAAAGTGGTGGGCTACTACACATACAGAAACCTAGCACCATCAAGCCTAGCATGTTTCTACAGCTTCGACCCTTACCTCATTGTGGGCATGAGTTGGGATATGCCAATACCAAGCAAAAAGTCAGACTGAGAAGCCATTTGCTATTCCATGCATGCAACCTGCGCTTAGAAATTGCGTCTCCCTCGATGCTCAGTTCGCCAGTGACGTTCAACGAGAACATAGGCAGCGTAATCTCCTGCACAGCGCAGCAGCATGCTTGCAGCGCAAACACTGTGACCTTCAGACACGAGCACACCTTGAATGTGAGCAATTGGAGGTTGCAAGCTACACACAAATCTGGGTAGTGGCAGCTTAGCCCCGGCAGCTAGTAGCACCCTCTTGTTTCCCAGCAGCCGACTGCTGGGGCGCGTGCTGCTCCAGTGGCAAACTGGATGCTAGCCCGAGGGTTGCCAAAAGTGCCGATGTCCAGATACCTAGGACTGGCTGATGCATAAGCTGCATAAGTGATTCCTGAATGACTTATCTCTTACTTACTGCTGCCTCCGCCGTGTTTGCACATGGAATGCCAACTTACGGTTGCTTTGTTTCTGGCTCAGATGCATTATGCGTGGGCCGTCAGCAGGTCAGAAGCCCCTATATACTTCAGAAAAACGCGCTCAGCTCTGTTATTCCTGGGCGTTCGCTCATGTAGCGTGCAATCGAACATTCAACGCCTGTTGCCGGCGTTCTAAGCGGCTCTGTCTAATTCGATTTTGCTTCGCGCCTGGGACTGCAGACCCCCTGATAAGTCAAACTGCATGCGTAGCTTGTGTTTCGCAAGCAGCTTGGGAATGTGGGGGGCAGTTGCGATTAAAAGAATAGCAAGCACAAAACGGATGATGCCAGCTACGCGGATGAGGACTAGGAATGCTCGCCTTGCGTTATGCTCGCCCCTACGAGAGCCCCATCTCTACCTAGCAATCTCCCGCGAACACGCAATGGCTGACTGTTTCCCATTGTTCGCTCGCTTTGGCTAGTAACTGTCTGGCAGCTTTGGCAAACATATCGGCCGCTACCAAGCCGAGGATGGACCGACAGCTACACAAAGTTCCACTAAGGACTCAACATATCTGCCGAGGAGCTTATCAACTTCAGATCCATCGACATCCCGAATGGCTCCGAACAGATTTATGGAAGACGTTGCCTTCCCAAGCCTCGGCTCAACGTTGAGTCAAAACGCGAAAACGTCTTCTAATCCGTGATCTATCGTGGTCTAACAGTCGTCAAGGAGCCCCATTAAATCCAACGTGGGCAGCGAGAACTCGTAGACCTGCATGTCGGCTGCAGTCGATTCCAAGGCCTGCGCACAAGCCAAAGTTCTTCAACCGCTGTATGGCCTGCACTTGTCTGTGAGGTTGCCAGGTCCCAGCCTTGACTCGTTGGATTTTGGAGAAAGCTGGCTTGCCTGCTTGCACCAGCCGATCAACGCTATTGTCCTGGACACAAGCAGAAATTCAAAACTCACGGCACAGTCCAGGATATTGCAGACAATGGAAAACAAGAAAGGACACCGCTCAATTCCTTCGGCCCATCACCGTACAACCACTGCTTTGCGAGATCCGGCGCACCTCAGCTTCCGTTGGCAAAAACATGGGTACATTGAGCACAGCCGCGCGCAATTTTCAATACCAAGCCGCCACCCAAACTGACACGGAAAGGTGTTCTGGCTCCGAATTTTGCACGTGCGCCTCAACGCAATCTCACCAGCACATGACCACCATGCCGCTGCACAAGTCTTCGCAGAGGGCCTTGGATGTCAATCCACTCACCCTCAGTGACTGCGTCTGTCCGCTGCACTGTCTTCGTCGGCGCGGCTTGGTGTAGGGCAACTCGGTCGCCTGACATGCGAGCCCAACTGTTAGACCATTCACTTCACAAAAAAAAGAAAAGAGAAAAAAAAAAAAAAAAAAAAAAAAAAAAAAAAAAAAAA